TATGTTATCTATGCTAATACTATTGTATTTTCAGATTTGCCCCCTTTCTAAATGTTCCCATATAAAACTAGACCTGTTGTCTGCCAGTAAAGGCTTTTTCTTTCTGACTTGAACAATCGCAGATCTGTCTTTCACAGTTTTCCTTCTGGGCACAGGGTCATTGTCATCATATTTGTAATGCATCTGCCTTATAATCAGCTTGTTCTTATTCTGACTTGGCAGTTCGTAGTACTCTTGAGTCTTTGAAAAAAAATAAATGTTTTTGTGGAGACCAGTAAATGGGGTAATCTGTATAGCTATCAGGTGTCGTATTTTTTTTATTTAGTATGAATATAGACTGTCCTTAAAGGACCACTATAGTGCCAGGAAAACATACTTGTTTTTCTGGCACTATAGTGCCTTGAGGGTGCCCCCACCCTCAGGGACCCCTTCCCACCCGGCTCTGGGGAGAGGAAAGGGGTTAAAACTTACCTTTTTCCAGCGCAGGGCGGGGAGCTCTCCTCCTCCGATCCTCCTCCTCTCCTCCCATTCTGCTGAATGCGCACGCGCGGCAAGAGCTGCGCGCGCATTCAGCCGGTCTCATAGGAAAGCATTTACAATGCTTTCCTATGGACGCTTGCGTGCTCTCACTGTGATTTTCACAGTGAGAATCATGCAAGCGCCTCTAGCGCCACTAGAGGAATTGGAGGAAGGATTAACCCATTTATAAACATAGCAGTTTCTCTGAAACTGCTATGTTTATAAAAAAATGGGTTAATCCTAGCTGGACCTGGCACCCAGACCACTTCATTAAGCTGAAGTGGTCTGCGTGCCTAGAGTGGTTCTTTAAAGCCACTTACCCTGTGGACATTGAGGCTATCCTCCAACATGATCACAACTTTAAAGCTTGTAATTAGCTGGACAAGAGTGATCTGAATAACCTTTTAAATGGATCAAGATCTCATCAAAGCTTTGAGGAAGACTGCAAGGTCGAAATAGTTGAGTCAGTGTTGGATGATTAAAACGGCAAACCACTAAGGAGTTACAGTCATTATTTATTTTTAAAACTAAACTCTGGGATCTGGGGTTGGTACATGCAAAAACTTTACTCAGTTTCATGGTAATCAGAATATGAGTGTTAGTTTTCGCTATATTAAACAGACACTCCACTGCCCAAATAAAAAGAAAATATAAAAATCACTGTTTTGTTAAACATGCATGCGTTTAATTATGTAATTTTTCATTGGGGTAAAGCTAAAAACAGTTTGCAAATCTCTGACATTCTGTGGCTGTCCAATCACAGACTTCCCACTGCAGATCAAAGAGAATTTGCTGCCTCTTGAGCTTAGCTCAACTGAGCTAATCAACTAGGAAGTTACAAGATTAGTTGTTTGATTGACAGGTACATTGTTACAAGGTAAACTTATGAAAATGCACGTTTTGAGAGATGAGAAATGAGGACACATTCTAGTGCTTGAGAGGTCTGAAGCGGTCATTTAAAGTGTTGTTTCCAGTTTCAGTGTCTTTTCTATTTAACAATGAATTAATATTGTTTTACAGTAAATAAAGTATACTCTTTAAAAAAAAAAATATTTTTCTAAAACTGTGAAGACATTAAAAGACAAGGGATACTTTAATTTTAGGGGTGTGTGCAGGGCTGTGCTCAGAAGCTGAGCTGTTCTGAGAAACGGTAGGTGTTTTACTGATAACCATTTATGAAACTAACATTTTTGTAATAACAAGAACAACATATCTTGCACTGACTGATTACTAAACACGTTTACCATAGTTTAAAGACACAAAATTCTGTGAGTATTATTACTGTGGAGCTCTGGTATTAACTCAGACACACCGAGAATAGTGAGCTCTTACAAAAGAGGGACAAATGAATTTAATGTCAGGGAGATATGGCTTTAAAAAAATACTCTTATTACACACTTAAAAAAAATTAATAAAATATAATGATCTTGAGGAAGACCCGAATGTGTCGAAACGTCGATCACTTTATTATATACTGTTTGATGGAATAAATACCTTTATAACTTCGGAAGACCGGAGAGTGCATCCTTTCTATGTATATATTGTATATAATTTCAGCGTGGGATAGCACCAGGGCATTGAGCTAAATATTGTTTTACCAGCAAGGGTGAGTGCCATTATACTTGTACTATATATATATATATATACTGGTTAGTTGTTATAGTACATCTAACTTGAATTACGAAAAAGTGATTTATTCCAATATACGGCTCTTTGCTTTCTAAATTCTAATTCTACAACATGTTAACTCTTGTATATTTTACTAGTGAAAAAATCATCCGTTCATTTTTGAACATGGTTAATGAGGTTAGAAAGGTTACTTTGAAGTTTAGATAAATTGTCCACGCAATGTGTATTAAAGCCTGGTCTCTGTCATTATGTCACATGGTGTGTATTATATTGCTTAGTAGCTAAATATATATTCAAGCAAATGAAATTGACCTGTGCCAGAACCCGCCCCCCTCCCTTTTTTTTTTTTTACATCCTGTTATGATTTATGTGTATTGTTATGTCTATTTTGTTTTCAGATTTTAAAACATGGAAATGCTAAAATAAGTTCTTCCTGGAGTGCAAGATTCTACACGTACAATTGATACAATCTGTAAGGTCTATTTATTGATTTTACCGATAGCATAGCATGATGTATTTGCAACTTCAGTTAGCACTATGAACCATTATAATACAGACCAGGTATGCAATGCTGGTGCTTTAAATGGGTTTGGGGAGAGGGATGGGAGATTTAGATTTAATAAACTATGAATCAGTATGATTCTCTGGAGTAGGAAGGAAGGAGATGATGGTGAGATCAGGTTCACAGATGGGTGAGTTAGATAAGACATGTTATAGCTCAGAATATGTAAAGTGTAAATAGACACACGGTGTGGGGGGGGGGGCTGGTGACAAGGTTATCACAGTGAGAAGCGTCAGAAAACACACAAAAAAAGATGTAAGTGACAGACTGACAAATACAGTGTTACTGTTTCAAAATGTGTTCTACAAAAACAGAAAATGAACAGATATCCCAAGATAAGGCAGGGACATTCTTCAGAAATAAACGGGACAGGAAATTAAGCTCATCTGTAATGGGACCCACTCCACATGTGCTGAGTCCCAGTGTTCCATCTGTTTGTATCACTAAAAATAGAGGGGAATATCTGAGGCTTGATACTCACAGACAGGGCGGCTCGAGAAGTTGGTGGGGCGCTAGACTCTATTCCTGATATGTTATTCTGACCCTTGCGTTTTTGGGTGCTGCCTACTTAATCCTATGTACTTGACCCCTTACCCAAGGAGAAGTCATGCTCTGTCCAATATCATAAACCCATACATAAAGGAAAACAACAATATCTGACTCTACTACCTGACACTATTAGTCAATCATGGTTTTAGAACACAAGATATTGTGCAAGCCTGTCTTCCTTTTAGGACATCCCGGACCTGAAGGCCCAAGGTAAAGCCAATAGGTGATATCAGCTCTTGTGACAGCAGGCTAACCAGGTCTGAGGTTTTTCAATAATCTCTCAAAATCTTGACATGATTACTTGCTCAATCTGACAGCAACATCTCTACCCATCAATAAGGTTGAGGAATGGAAACTGCAGAACTAATCGTAGCAGTCACAACTTGTTTTTTAACACACTTAATCATCAGTCTGTTACATGTCAGTAGATCTTTTTTATTTATTGCACCAAAAATTGTTGTACTGCAATAAATAAAATGAAGAAATCTACAAGACCTACTATGCTGCATTAAATAAACAAATAATCTGCCCTTATGGACCAGATCACACTGTTCACAGAGTATGTGTTGGAAGTAATGATGAAGGTAACTGTTGCTTGGATGGTTGGTTTTCTTATGTTGTATGTGATTTGAAATACTGCACAGGGTACCAGGCTATTTGTTTACTACACTATTAGATCGTCTCTGTCTTTTTCTGTGTACATAAAAATATGTACATAATCCATTATTATTAAACATGTTTTTTCTTTATTTGTAGATGAAGCTGCAGTGCAACATTTGGTCTTGGGAGACTTCTTTTTTTGCAATCTCATCATGTATTAAGGGGATTTGCATCTAACAAGAAGGCCTGGTGGCAGGGAAATTGACCAAAATTGTTGAAGGCAAGACCAATTTATTATATGGGCACCTATCCTGGGCACACAATAAGAGTGTCTCGACAGCCGTGAACCCCTGATAGAAGAGGTAAGGGCTGTAGAAGGAAAAGTGACAACATTCCAATGGAAGGGCACAAGATAGTGGGAGATACAGGGATGGAGAAAGGACACAAATATTTTTTTTATCTGGATGTCCATTTATAACGCCACCACTAGCTAGCTAGACAGTGGTATTTGTGTTATCAGGTACTATTACTTCGGGGTTTAATGGGTCGGGGTGTCCCCGATAGATAGTATTGTATGAATATTGCTTTTGGATCCCAGCAGGGTTAGACTGATAATCCCTGTGACCCTAGTCACAGGATCTTCAAGAGTCGGACTGTAATTTCATGCACTCTTTACCTCTATCTAATACTGTAGATTAAGTTTGTAGAACGAAGGGCCATGTGCTTGTGAATAGTAGCAATTCACTGAATGTTGTTTACATTTAATATTTTACACATGGCTTCTGATAACCAGATGGTAACTACATTTTAAACTGCCTTAGGCTTGCGCTTTAAAAAGTCTTATGGGTTTGGGGGCCTCTTGGAGGTAAAAAAAAATAAATAAAAGTTTTTTGTTGGGCTAGTAGTGCTGAGAAAATGTATTGATCTATAAAGCGTATCTTTGTCAGCCTTAGAGTGATGGGAGTTACTGTCTGAAAGAGTTAATTCAAAATTAGATTTTTTTTTTTTTTTTTAAATGTAAAAATCTCCCAGTGGAATTAGATCTCATAGTAGTTTGTGAAGGCTGGAGGGGTCTCTGGGGGAGAGGGTTGTGACATTAGTCTCATGGGGGTGTGCAAGGGGAGGGGACATAAAGGGAGGGGGTGAACAGCTGGACATGAAAAGGCTGTGTGTCTGTCTTTAAGTAAAACCAGGTGTGGGGAGAATTTTACTGGAAAGTAGGGAGGGATTGGCAGAAACTCAGGAATTTAGAAAGAGAGAGAGATAGAAGCAGAAAGAGACTGAAAGAGAGAGGGAGGAGGTCAGAGGGAACAGACATATCATACACTGGGAAAGAGAGAGCTTTAGTCTGCCATGGAAAGTTAGAGGAGGCAATAGAAAAAAAGAAAAGAAAAAGAGAGTTAAAAAAGCAGATTCAACAAGCAGTTTAGTAAAGGAAGAAAGGAACTGGGGGCAGTGTTGGTGTAAAGCGGGGAGAATAAAAAAAAACCCCAAAAAACAGAAAAGGCCCAGGAAACACAGAGAGGCAGCCACAGGAAGAAGAGAAATATTAAAGCAAAACAGGATTATTCATTGTATTCCACTTTTTAACTCCCGGATCAGAGAGAATGGTGAGTATTTTTTTAAATATATCTGAATAACTAAATCATAAATATTTAATATCTAGAGAGAGAGAGAGAGAGAGAGAGATAAGAGTGATGCGTGTCTCCCTGAGTGTGTATTAATCTGTCGTTGTAGGACAGTTCGTTAAATTATGTCGATAGTTTGTGTCTATCACCTATGTGTTGTGTGTGTGCATGTGTCTCACTCCATTTGTCTCTTTCACTCTAATGAATGGGTATCTTTCCCTAAAGAACTAGCAGATCTCATCTCGTATTTGTCCAGACACACAGATAAAAAAACAACAAAAATAGCCGCCTAATGTGAATATTATATTGCAACGTCTAGATGATATCTCTTAATATATATTAATACTTGTGTGTTGTGCTGTTTATACATCAGTCTTGTATGGAAAAGAAAAAATTGTACGTGAAACGCTCCCTTTGTGTGTTCACTATTAGTGAATTTGTATGTCACATTCACTACTAGTGAGATTTTTGTGTTGCATTTATTATGAGTGCCTTTTAATATTATGTTTGCTAATAGTTGGTTAATTGCAGTGGATGTTGATGCTCTTTACCAGTCATATTAGAATTCGTAAGACTTTTCACCTTTTGTTTACAAATATATTAATTTTTTTGTTTGTTTATATCTCAGTCATATTTCTATAGATTTAGTTTCTCTCTCAGTAAGAAGAATCTTTAACTTTATCTGGCAAAACAGAACAGGCTATTCCCCTTGTTAGCCAATAAATAATTGTTATCATTGTATTCAAAATATGCCAACATATTCAGCAGTGTTGTTAACTTGTAAAGTAAGCGGTGACGCATTTAGACTGATAGTGGGTTAGTGGTCAATTAAGTGTATTAATAATGGTTGAAACATATTTGAGTCATCAAAGGTATAAGCAGAAGCAAGGATCCATTTGGCCAGAAAACTGAGCAAGAAGAGGCAATCTTCCATCTGCACATACACATACAACGAATTTACATATCTCGGATAATTCAAGAGCACCCTTGTTTGATACAAGAAATGGGAGAACGGTTGCAAAAATACAAAGGAAAACATACGTCATGTATGTTTTCCTTTTTATTTAGTGGATGAAAAGTAAATGACCCTTGCACGCTATCACCATCGTTGGATATAATTCTCCATATCACAACCCTCAGTTTGCTGGTCAGAACATTGACGCTTGTAGAACATGACTTTATGAAGACCATAAGAAACTGATAGGACAGCAAACAGTGCATACCACACAGGGTTAAGAGAAAAAAAATAAACAATTTAGATTTTCTAAATGCTAACAGGAAAGATTCACACTCTAGATAAGGCCATGTAATACTGTGTATTGACATCCTCCTGTGCTAATGGGAATCCATCCAGAACTGATACTAATGTGTCCCAGTTGGGAGTGAGCATGATTGAAAGTATTTTTCAACTGATTTCATAAACTTTTATTGCATGTCCTTTTCTTAAATTCTTGTTTTATTCTATGGATTTTCTTAATACACTGTTTGGCTTTCTATTAACCCATACCTCCCGGGATTCCTACATTAGGAGGTACAGTCCCTCTTTTCTATCCTAATATGTATTAGAATTATAACAGATCTCCACAGCAATAATTCTCGCAGTAATGTGTCTTTAAATGCCAAGAAATGTGTTTAGAGATCAGCCTGTGTAAATAAAATAAATTTTTCTTGTTCTAAATTACATTTTAGTGGCATACATTTTTATTATTAAGTCAACTAGAATTTTTCAGAACAGCCCCCTGGCTACACATTTACTTACCCCCCCCTAAGATTAAAGTGTCCCTCTTTGTTATTTTGAATTGACCCTCTGCATGGCCCATTCAACAAGCTCGGTCAGTAACTCAGTTTGTTGGTACACCAACCTTGGTATGTTTGTTAACTTAAAACCCCAGGTTATATTCATAGCAGGTCTAGGGGACATACAGAAGAGAAAGAACTGTATATGAAAAATGAATGTAAAGAACTAGCCAAGAAAACCAGACTTATCACTGTACTATGGTAATGGTACCACTATAAGAAAGTTAAGTGTGTCCACTCCCTGGTGTTTATATAGTTACTTAACCTCTGCTTTTAATTCATTATAGATGCTGTGTCTCTTCTCCCTACTACTTTGTCTTCTCCTGGTTCCAAGTAGACAGCAAGAGGGTGAATCACCAAACAGCTTCACGGTAATTTAACATAAAGCGTATTGTAATATAGAGCCACACTTTTTGATTATTATTATTATTTTATTATTTATATAGCGCCAACAAATTCCGTAGCGCTGTACTATGGGTGGACTAACAGACACAGAATTGAGATCAGACCACTGGACGTACAGGAACAGAGGGGGTTAACCCCGTGATAAACAGATCTATCAGGCCAAATGCTTCACATACATTTTTAACAGACAGAAACATGAGGCATTTTCTTGCATGATATTTTTAAATGTCCCCACAAAGAATATTATCTGCATTTTCTTTATTACAATAATTAGCAATACTGGAATTTGAAAGGCTTTTCCTCGTCATTTACTAGTATTTACTATTTAAATGATTTCACAGGAATGTTGTTGATTTTCATAATCAGGGATGGTTTGAACCTCATTTATTAGTTTTGAGTGTATTTTGACCATTCACCTGTTTTTATGTCAGGAATGCACAGATGGATATGAATGGGATCCAGAGAAGCAGCATTGCAAAGGTACCAGATCAATTTTAGTATATTATATGCTTTTTGGGTACTTATTGACTGCATCATTGCTAAAATTAACTTTTCTTTCACCTCTCACAGATATTAATGAGTGTCAGACAATACCTGATGCCTGTAAGGGGGAGATGAAGTGTATTAATCATTATGGGGGTTACCTGTGCCTTCCTCGCTCTGCTTCGGTCATCAGTGACTCCCAAACAGAATCTGCTATTCATGATCCGCCCCCTCCGCCGCCACCTAACACAGAAGCACAGGACATCCAATGTCCAGCAGGCTACCAGCCCGACTCACCAGGGCTTGGTACCTGTGTAGGTAAGAAAGGAATATAAATGCTTTTAGACTTTTAAAAGAATACAATGCTCAGTTGGAGTGGTCTATAGGATATAATAACGTTTTTCTATGATAATGGTTTCTCTTAAAGGGACACCGTAGGCACTGTATCTGCTTCATCTCATTAAACTGGTTATAGTGTCTGGAGTCTTCTGGTCCCATCATTTCTATCAGCATTAAACAGTTTTTAAAGTTTTAATGTTTTAATGCTAAACAAGAGTCCCCGGCAATCCATCCCCTCTGTGCTGCTTTGGCTAATAAGGAAGTATTAGCCTGAGCAGAAATGGGCAGCTGTGATTGGCTGAGAGTGTCAGCTGACTGCTTTTAGCCTGTCAGAGTTCCAACTGACGGTATGAGTGGGTATGACAACAAGGAAGTGTGTAATCTCTGCCTTAGCTACACATACTGAAGGGGCCGGACTGTGGGTGGCCAGGGACTCTTATTTTGTGGCATACTGCACGAACATGGTGCAACACTGAATAGAGGGACAGTGCCAGGGTACTCCAGGCACTATAATCAATTCAAAGAGATGAAATGCTTATAGTGACCACAGTGTCCCTTTAAGTACAAAATCCTCTGCAAAAGGAGAATATACTATAAAGGTTGGTGGGATTAGTGTGGGTAAACCAGTATTATGGAGAAGTGGGGCCTGCACGGACATGAAGTGAATTGAATAGCAATGAAAGTGAGCATTATGGGTAGGAAGTTATCATTTTTGGGAAATGAAAGACAAAGTTGAGTATCTTTGCAAGGATGTCATTCAGGATTCCCCAATAGTGCTAATGTAGGAGGTAACAGTGATGTGTGATTGTAAATGGAGTATATATAGAGCTAGTTAACATTGTAGAGATGAAATATATAGAATCGGATACAACTGCAGACATTAGATACTTATAGAGTTGGTTACCTTTGCAGACCGGTGTGATCTACGTAGTGAGGTAATTAATGCTGCAGAGATTAAATATACACTGAGCTGGGGTTTTACTGCAGAGATGGATAGAATAGTAGGTGATGTTAAAGGAAGCGTAGAAAAAAAATATAATTTCTCTTAAGACTGTACTATTTTGTTTCAGATGTGGATGAGTGTGTATATCAACTGGATGACTGCCTGCCCAGCCAGGAGTGTGTCAATGCACCAGGTGGCTTTCACTGTAAATGCCCAGATGGCTACAGAAAGATAGGGAACGAGTGTGTAGGTGAGTATAAGAGCAATATTAACTTAATCCATCTCATCATATCTTCAGGTATCGTCATACTCTTCCTGCTGCTTAATACATACAAATTAAACTTATGGAAACCAATAGGACATTGTTAAATCTTTTCCCTAGAATTTTTCTTTATACATAACCCATCTATATATTTTTCAAATAACATAATTCTGTTTGATTCTTGCTCCAATGATCTACTTAATCTTATACATGATTCTATATCTCTCTTTATTTTTTTTGTCTTTTCTTAATGTTCATGTAACATTATCCCTTTGTTCCACAGATATAGATGAGTGTCGATACAGGTACTGTCAGCATCGCTGCGTTAACTCTCCTGGATCTTTTACTTGTCAGTGTGAGCCAGGATTCCAGCTGGCATCCAATAACCGTTCCTGCGTGGGTAAGTCTCGCTACCAAAAGAAAATCATTTCGTTTATTAGACTAGGTTGTTTTTTGAAAACAGATTTGAAAGTACATGAAAAAACAAGGGTGCTGTTTGTTAATTGACTTGGTTATGAAGAGAGGTCAATCATATGTACTAATATAGAAGTGAACAGAACTATTATGTCAGAAATACCAGGGGCTTTAAAAATGTGCACGGGTTTTGTGACTTATTACTACACAAATATGGTGCTTAGTAAAAAGTAAAACACTGGACACAAAGTCATAAAAAACAGAAGTGTCTCCTTTTTTTTTAATGTTTTTATGTTTTAGTATATCACAGCCCTGGCCTTCACAGGGCAAGTAGCAAGAGAACTACGGATTCAGGGATCTTTATTTGTTTCCAACAGGAAGCACAATTTGTAATGTACACATGTGTCAGCTTATACCGACATTGCTACTATAGCTAACTAAGTACCAGAGTTTCTGTTTGGACACATTACTTAAAAATGTACATTCATATCAGGCCAGCCACGAAAAGTTTACTGTACAACGTTATTTGTTATAAAATATGTGTCTTGGTCTTATCGACCTGCAGTAATGTATTGCACAACAAATATATAGAATATACCTGGCTCACGGATATTGCTGGCCTTGCACTAGCTTACTGAGAATACGAGTTGGTTCTGGTATAAACATGATATTATTACCTATAATCAAAGCTGTTACTTTTGATGCCAATGTATCTGGTTTTCTGTTCCAACAAAAATGTAAAAATGTGCATCTACGCCAAGTCTGTCCTGAGAACGCTACTGTATAATGTTGCATGTTACATGATATGTGTACGGGCTTTGCCAGATTGTGATTTTGCAATGCACAACTAAAATAAAGAATAACAAAAAAAACAACAACAAAAAAACAAAGAAGTGTATGCACTAAACCAAGAAGTGTTTACACAATGGTTTTGCAAATTTTAGGACAAAATTTCTCAATGTTGGCCTGTGGCATGCTATTCTCTTTTCAATTTGCGACAATTTCTGTTGTTGCCATTCAACTCTATACTATTTATATGCTGTCTTCGATAAAAGATACATTTAAAAAAAATCTCTATATATATATAGGTTTAGCAAGACTGTACATCCCTGCTGAATTACTTTGACATTTAGTTCAAAATTGTTGTTGATTTGATAATGGGAGGAACTCCTGAAAGCTTGCCATTTAGAAATGATTTATTTTGGTCTAATGAAAAGGTAAAGCGCAGTTTAATCAATACATTATGCTAATAGAATTGCTAGCGAATGTGTACATTGTCCAAAAAAACCTAGATGATAAATACCTTCTCCTCTCATTGTAACAACCAGCTTTCATCATACAGGCATTAGCCAGAGGCATAGAGTTGACTATCAGCAAAAGTAGTAACTCTCCTACAGGTAGTTCCAATGTCTACCCAAATGAAGATCACACTGCTTTTCCTAGCAGCCCATTGCACATTGCAGTCACATCAGCCATCATCGACAGTTGCGTGTGTACTATTAGTTTCTTAGAACAGCCTGCCAGGAAAACCAGTGAAATCTATGAATGGGTAATTTCTGCTCCAGCTGAGGATCACTGCCCTGACAGGTCCACTTTACTTGGAATCATTGTTTTTGTATGTTGTATTTAGTCTGCTTATGTTTATCCAACATAAGGATCTGCAGATACCTTTGTAATAAATCTTAAGATATTTAGATGATTTATGTTATCTGTATTTGTTCAAAAAGTTGGGGCTGGCCAAATCTACATGGTGTTTCTTATGTAACTATATAGGAAACAGATGTGATAGTTATATAATATAATATATTGATGTGTTTAATATATACAAACAGTTGAGTAATACAATTGTTTGAAAATTAGGGCAATGAGATAATTAAAATAAACATGTCATTAAAAGTATTATATAATGTCTGTTTTGCATGTTTTAACATATTGTCTGTATGGAGCATTAGTAAACAGAGGCACCTTTAATGCCATCCAGACCTGAATGTGGCTCATTTACATTGCTCTGATTAATTTACCATTACATTCATTCGCTAAATCAATTTTAACATTTTTGAACCAGATTGACTTATTCATGGTCTTGTTTTATAATAGCCATGGATGAATGTCAGTACTATATAAATTGATTAAAAAAAGTTCAATACCAGTGGTCATATTTTCTCACTATGACTTCAGGGATATTTCAAATCTACTAATTTTTCAATGATCAGGTTGAGTATTGTTCTATGGCACTGTTGTCTCTATGCAAAGCTCAACTGGATACTGAACTGTTAAATACAATGCACCCCATTAAGGCAAAGACATGACTACATTAATGAGTATCCCTTGAGTTTGCTCCATCCAAACATATTTTGTGTCTGGTACAAACAACAGAATTGCTACTGCAGAACAAGATCCTTTTTCGCTTTAAAGGGACACTATAGTCACCTGAACAACTTTAGCTTAATGAAGCAGTTTTGGTGTATAGAACATGCCCCTGCAGCCTCACTGCTCAATCCTCTGCCATTTAGGAGTTAAATCCCTTTGTTTATGAACCCTAGTCACACCTCCCTGCATGTGACTTGCACAGCCTTCAGGGGAGGGCTGGCAGCCTTAGGCCTGGGGGGCAAAACCAGTCAAGTGGCCCATTGCACCACCAAATCAGTGCAATGGTGCCCACCTTTTCCTGGTTTTATAACGGATATTGATGTTATGCTAATCAGTAGCTCTTTGCCATACCCGCTCCTTCACGGCTCTGACTTTCAATGTTGTCAGAGCGCAGGCTGAGAATCTCTGAGCCTGTGCTCTGACTCACTAACTGAGCGCCAGAACCACAAGGGAGAGGCTATAATCTGACTGCACCTACTGCTGGTGCGCACCAGTGGACCACCAGTGAATCGTTTAAATTGAATAGGCTGGTGTCCCCAACTTGTGAGCTGTGTTGTCCGCCGGGCGCCTCTGTTGTGATGGCACCCTGCGTGACCGCACAGCGTGCACACCCCAACGGCTGGCCCTGCTGACACACACTGATGTTACTACTTAGAAATCTCTCAATATTAATTCAGACATCAGAGTAAACACCAATAAACTGTGGAAACAGAGCTGATCCCCCCCAAATTTATAAAGATTTGTTTACTGGATTTGTTGTAAGATTAAATCATGCCTCCTCCTCTCTCTCTCCCATGCGCTGCTCTGTAGGCTGGGAGGAAGTGAAGAGTAATCACAATCTCCCAGCACAGTGGCACCTGTGGCTGCATGGGGAACAGCTGTATTTGCCACCCCATGTGACATCACAATGCCCCACCTATATGAGCTGCCATACGAACTAACGCCAGTGCTGCCCACAGTGTGTGTTTACATTAAAAAGCCTGCAGGGACCGGCTATAGACACCAGAACCACTTCATTAAGCTCAGTCGTTCTGGGGACTATAGTGTCCCTTTAATGTGAGGTAAATTATAGATTAGTGTCACTAATAATATACTAGATTGCCTACTTACAACCAAATGAGGATGATGATGGGCTGCAGTTTGGCTCCACTGGTCTGGTGTAGAACAGGATCTCTGGAGGCTGTTTGCAACTGTGGTCCCAAAATTCAATGTTCTGGGAGAATTGGAAGCAGCTCCATTTTTTGGAGGCCCCTTACACAGCTCAAGGTCTGGGCCCCAGGGCCTGACGGTGAGTATGCCCACAAGGCCCACTCATAAGTCCACTTATATGTTCCACCCACCCATGAGTTCGCTCACAGGGTGTGGAGTGTGTAGGGGATGTGTTATGTGTTATTGTAGAGGATCCAATATGTGTGCTTATGGTATGTAGTGTATAGGGATACCAGTTTGTGCAGGTGATGCAGTGTGTTTGTATGTAGTGGAAGCAGTGTGTATTTGTGTATAAGGGATGTATTGTGTGTATCTGGTTGTGTGTAAGGGATGCATTGTGTGAATCTGTGTTTGTATGCATAAAGGATGCAAGGTGTGTGTCTGTAAGTGTGTGCATTGAGTGTGTGTTAGAGATGCATTGTGTTTCTGTGTGTATGTAAGAAAAGCAGTGTGTGTATAAGGGTTGCAGTGTGTGTGTGTAAGGGTTGCATTGTGTGTGTGTAATGGATGCATTGTGTGTTTCTCTGTGTGTAAGGGAAGCATTGTGTGTGTGTGTGTGTGCGCGCGCGTAGTGTGAAAGAGCTCCCTGTCTTGCCCCCTGTCCTATAGAGCTGTCCCTTTTAGCTCTCCCCTGCCCCTTAGTGGTCTCTCCCCCACCCTCCCCTAGCGGTCTCTTCTCACACTCACCCACCCTCCCTGTGCTGTTCTCATCCACCCTTCATGTGTTCTTCTCACCTCCCCCCTCCCTGTGTTATCCTCACCTCCCTCCTCCCTGTGTCCTCCTCACGTCCCCCTCCCTGTGTTCTCCTCACCAACCACCCTCCCTGTGTTCCTCTCAGTCCCCCCCTTCTCCTCATCTCCCCTTCTCCTTACTCTCCCCCTCCTCCTTGTGTTCTTCTTACTCCCTCCTTCATTTACACCCCATCTTCACTTACCCCTCCTTCACTTCACTTACACCCCCATCTTCACTTACTCTTCACTTACTACCTCCCCTCCCTTCACTTACCCCCCGCTCCCCTCACCTCTTCTCCCCTCCCCTCCCCTGTAGCGTGGCCGAGTGGCCGAGTTTCTGTTTCCTGTACCCGGCCGGACTGACAGGAAGTGCCCACTGAGTGTGCACCTTCCTATCAGTCCGGCCGGGCACTGCGGACCAGCGAGCAGCTCGGCCACGATACAGGGGAGGGGAGGAGAGGAGCAGCTGCAGCCGCCTGAGGCTCTTAACAGAGCGCTCAGGCGGCTGCAGCATTTAAAGGGCCGGCCCTGCAGTGGCCGGTCTTAACAGAATTTAGGGCGGCCTGGGGGCAATTGCCTCTCTGCCCCCCGGCCCAGCCCGCCCCTGACAGCCTTCCATAAACACTTCCTGTAAAGAGAGCCCTATTTAGGCTTTCTTTATTGCAAGTTCTTTTTAATTTAGATTTTCTTATCCCCTGCTATGTTAATAGCTTGCTAGACCCTGCAAGAGCCTCCTGTATGTGATTGAAGTTCAATTTAGAGATTGAGATACAATTTATTTAAGGTAAATTACATCTGTTTGAAAGTGAAACCAGTTTTTTTTTTCCATGCAGGCTCTGTCAATCATAGCCAGGGGAGGTGTGGCTAGGGCTGCATAAACAGAAACAAAGTGATTTAACTCCTAAATGACAGTGAATTGAGCAGTGAAATTGCAGGGGAATGATCTATACACTAAAACTGCTTTATTTAGCTAAAGTAATTTTGGTGACTATAGTGTTCCTTTAAGTAAAACTTAAAACTTTGTCAAGCCTACTTTGCCAGTAAATTTCCCCTGAGCTTAGTATCTCAAGAACATAAAATTAGGGAATTTAGACTTGAATTTAGGCCAGGATTATTGCATGAAATTGGAATGACACAAACATCAATTACCCAGGCACTCACCCTACATCTATTTTTACATACTCCTTTGAGGTTTTCTTTTTTCCAAAAACAACTTGCTTTTAATGATAGATAAACATCCACAATATGGTTAATCTTTGCACAAATGTACCTTATAAATAATGAAAATATGATTAGACTTTAGTGGGAACTCATTTTAGCATCATGTAGTCATGCTTCCCACACATTCAAACAATTGGCACAATGGTACCTCGTTTACAAATGTACTGTACATTATTTGTTATGTACGTATTAAGGATGTATTTGGTTTTAGTGTTCCTCTCTTAAATTGTGGAACACTGAATACAAGCATAGCGGGCAGGGCCGCCACCCTGACAAAGCACACCCCCACCCAGCCGGCCTCCCCCTGCAATGAATGCAGTGTGTATTAGTGTAATGAATGCAGTGTGTGTGTCAGTGTAATGAATGCAGACTGTGTTAGTGTAATGAATGCAGAGTGTGTGTTAGTGCAATGAATGCAGTGTGTGTGTTAGTGTATTGAATGCAGTATGTGTGTCAGTGGAATGAATGCAGAGTGTGTGTCAGTGTAGTGAATGCAGTGTGTGCGTCAGTGTAGTGGATGCAGTGTGTGTGTGTTGATGCAGTGTGTGTTAGTGCAGTGAATGCAGTGTGTGTTAGTGCAGTGGATGCAGTGTGTGTGTTTAGTAGTGTATGCAAGTAAATGTAATAACTGTTATTCCCCCCTCCCTGTTTCTTACCTGGTCCAGGGAGGGGGAGATTCCATGATCCCTGGTGGTCCGGTGGCATTGTGGGGCCCCCCGGCTCCCTATACTTGCAGAGGGGGCCCAGCGGACTGCAGCTGTACTTTACAGCATTTCCCTCGCTCTAACTCCCGCGAGATGTGGTGTGCGCGCTGCGCGGAGCGTTGCCATGGTAATCCATGTCAACGCTCTAATGGCCGCACGTCTCGCGGGAGTTAGAGCGAGGGAAATGCTGTAAAGTACAGCTGCAGTCTGCTGGGCCCCCTATGCAAGTATAGCCAGGACCGCCTGGCCCGTGACAACCGCTCTGGTTGTCACCCCCTGATGGCGGCCCTGATGGCGGGTACTGGAATAGCATACGGTAGGGGACGATAGTTACTAATTACAGATGGTCTCTAAAATGTTTATATATGTTCACCTGTAAAGCTAAAAATATACAATTCCTCATTCCCTTTTGCAGATGTTAATGAATGCTCCATGGGTGCACCATGCCAGCAACGCTGCTATAACACCTATGGAACTTTCTTGTGTCGCTGCAATCAGGGTTATGAATTGGATCGTGATGGCTATACCTGCAATGGTAGGTACACTACTCAAGCACTTGTATCTGTGTATTTTATGCCTACCAATGACTGGATCCTTCCTTATTCCATTCCATTATTGGTATCTAGATCTCTAGATCTAATTTCTACCATAAGTGGATCATGTCAGCATCCCATTAATGGGCTTTCTATGTGCCAATGTATTACACTTTACATCCTGTGGGAGAGAATTGCTCTGTTATTTGTGAATGTGTTTTTTTCCACACTAAGTCTAGTGGTTTCAATTAGTTACTTAATGTATTGTGCAATCACTGCAACGAACAGCTCTGACTGCAGATAATTTTTGGACTATATTCCCTATAATGCTCAGCTAGTTTTACATTTAGCATTCACTGGCCTGTAGAATGTGAATCAAATTTTACTAGGTGATGGGGTAATAGAAGTTATAAATACACAATACACAACTTGTCTCCCGGACTAATTTTTCTGGCCAAGCATCTTGGTAAACATAAACTAAAACACAAATTACCAAAGGTTTATTATCATTGTATTAATGAAAATTATTATTTAGATTAATCTACCATGCTTTTAAAAAATGTATTTAAAAGTATACTCATTACATAAATCACCTCAGTGTCAATGTATGGACCTTACTATCGTCTCTCTATATATGTTGCAATAAAGTGAACATTCCACAAATTTAAAAACAACTTACTTTCCACACCAGAAAGACATGATAAACTTCCGAATATCTTAACAAATAAATTAGTCAATAGTAATAAGACACAAATGAAACTACCCAAGATATTTGACATCATCCTACAAATGTATGCAATTTTTGTATCAAGTTAACATTTGGATTAGTAGATTAGATTGGTATACCTTCCAACTTTGTGGGCTGGTCTCATGGAGTTCTAAGGTTGGTGGGGAGTTGAGTTCCAGCTTGTAGTCAACCATCCAACATTATAGATGTGAAGAGTTCCATGAGATTTTGCCAGTGTTACGTTCTTCATACCTATACCATGTTTATTGTCATAGTGAAAATTGTCCTAGTTCTGCCTGCAAAAATATTAGAACTTATTTCTGAGTAACAACAGGTTGGATCCATATGGTGTTATTTAGCGTTATTGAAGACTAGATTGTTATGAAGGTATTATTAATGTCTTACTTGTTTGCATGCCCAGATTTAAATTTACAATTTTGATTATGAGAATGTGAACACAGGATATATATATATTTAACATGGTTACTTTTATCTGGTCAGACGTTGATGAATGCAGTTACTCCAGTTACCTGTGCCAGCACCAGTGTGTTAATGAACCTGGGCGCTTTTCCTGTATCTGTCCAGAAGGATACCAGCTGTTAGGCACTCGATTATGCCAAGGTAAGAAAACTGGGACCAACCTCTGAGTGCTGGATTGCATTTCATTGCAATGGGGGTTTTAAACATTACTCCTCCTCAAGGTCAAATGATTCCAGAGTGGGTGCTTAGTGCTACTCTTGGGAGAACAAAACTGATGCCAATTAAATTAATGGGAGATTTGATATAAAATTATATCCAGTAAGGAACCTTACTGCAAGTTAATATTTGCACCTAAAGAAAGTTTCTACAAATAAATAAAATAAAATCGCTGTGATAAAAGATTTTTTTTATGTATTTGATTTTTTTTTTTACATTCTGGGAGTTTGATTCCACAACTATAGCATTAAACGTTCACGGTTTTATTTTGCTGCCTAATCTAAGTATGAAATTATAATTGTTTTGATCTTGATAGCGTAGGTAGAAAAATATATATCTTTATATTCTGGAAAATAGATATTTTACAAATAGGTAGCCAGTGACTTGGGAACCTGTGTCCACCCTGCAATTCTCATGGAGGATTTGTGTATTGCGTAGTAACCCCATGGCTTTCCTTTTTTTATTTTTGAATGAAGGTGGAAAGGTTGACATAGTTGGCACTCCATGATGATTTCTATGGGGTTTTAGGAGCCCTACTTGATTTTATTTTATTTATTTATTATTATTATGATATTTATAGAGCGCCATCAAATTCTGCAGCGCTTTACAATGGGTGGACGAACAGACATGTAGTTGTAACCAGACAAGTTGGACACACAGGAACAGAGGGGTTGAGGGCCCTGCTCAATGAGCTTACATGCTAGAGGGAGTGGGGTGTACTGACACAAAAAGGTAAGGATAGTATTAGACTAGTGACTGTGACATTTATGAGAAACAATTGCTGGTCTTCTCTATTAGAGAAGAAGATTGTGTGGTCATGCAGGCAGAAGCAATGTTTTGGCTTTTGATGCTTTTGAGTCTATCATCAGCTACTAATTGTCTCCCTATGAGGATAGCTTACTGTATGGTATACCTATCAATGCAATGACCAGTATTGATGTATCGTCTCTTAGGCTTTTCGGGGTTTAAGAGTCATTAATACAATTATCATCAGACAATTGGAAAACTGTGTTACCACCATTTTCAGCTCAATTAATTCAAAGCTTCCCAAATGTTCAGGAAAACATTTAGCACAACATCCATTTTAAACAATGTTTGAGTGCCTACTAATTAAATAAGGAAACCTCTTTGATGATTACATATTTGTTGCTGGAATGCTATCATTTGTGCTAATAGAAATTAATTATTTTTTTATGGACAAATGAGTTTCACTTGAGTGTTTAAAAATAAACAACCCATGTACATTCTATGTATTAAAATATAATTGGTTGTATTAATCTTAATGAATTTAGGATTGGAAGCTGTGGAAGGAGTATACTGGTTACATAGGACTGATTTGAACTGCCTTTACAGATATCAATGAATGTGAAACAGATGCCCACACGTGCTCTGAATCTCAGAACTGCATCAACTTCCATGGAGGTTATCGCTGTGTGGAAAAGAATCGCTGCAAGGAGCCTTATATACAAGTAGCCGACAAGTGAGCTAAATACATAAAATATTTTTTTTCTTCTCTCTAAATAGATTTTTCATTTATTGCTGCAGGGTTCATCCCTTCATAGTAGACACCCATGGTACAGATACTTGCAAGATGTGGTTCAATCAGAACCAAAAAATTACAGAATGATTATCTTAGAATGGCGATTCTTAATTCCTAGATCAGTAGCCATACCTAGGTTCTGTGCTGCTTGTTGGTTAGAAAAGGTTAATAATTAATCAGTGAGTCATCTGCTTTATTGAAAGCATATCTAACATAAGCCTTCCAACCGTCACTTGACTATTATCCCCATAATTGTTTGCCAAAGAGACCCTTGGATAATAGTATGTAAATCAGGGGCAGACATGGCTTTTCAGAACTAGGTACATTAATAAGCCAAAAACACACAAATTCATCATCATGCTTCAGTTTCTGGGAATAGATATAGACTAACGTAAATATTATTAACTACCCCTATTTCCTGAATGAGACTCCTACAAAACACTGGAGAGCAATCAGGCACTAGGAAGTCGTGTTGTCTTTATTGAATTTTGTGCATACAGAAATACCAAGAAAAACATTGAAAGGGGACATATTTTAGGCTTATTTATAGAATATGGAGCACTTATGGGAAATATGTACACCATTAATACAAAATATCTATAAGCTTCTTGGAAAGATATATATATATATATATATAGAGAGTGTAAGCAATGGAAGCTCTAGCTTCTCTGGTATAACTAAGTATCTTGAGGCAACAGTAAATATATAGACAAAAAAACTTTATTGAACTTATACTGCCCAAAGGATACTATAGTATCAATGTGACCAATAGCTAGTGTGACTAAGTCTGTATTCCCCCTGTGTGTGGACTAAACTTGGTATAATAAGGTAGCAATCCACAGTAGTATGAACGCTTAAAAAGATACAAATAAACACCCAAGAGGAGAAGGGGGAATAATGAACGAGGGAATAGATTGGATAAGAGATGACAGGGTACCCTGATCGGTATATAAACAGGATCTTTGGTAGAACAACAAGTCAATCTAATCGGAGACACAGGGAATAGAGCCTTCTAATGGGGAGATAGCAGAGTGTCTATAAGTAGGTAACTCCGAAGAATAATAAATGATAATAAGAAACAGCAGCCTCTAATTTGTAAACAGCTAGTGAATATTAGAATCTACGAGTCCGGCTACTAGAAACTGATGCTGAAAGGAGAGATGGCTACTAAAGACACCACAATGCTAATTCCCTATAAGCTATTAACACCTTCGTGGGTGTTCTGTGCTAAGGTTAATGCTTACCCCGGTGTCTAAAGTCAATCAACCCTCGAGAAAAAACTTGAACATGCTTAGACTATATACACAGACAAAACTAACAACCAAAAGAAAGTGAAAAGCAAAAAACAAGTCCCTTCATGTGCATAGTAGAGTGCTCAAGTGAGATGAAGGGGTGGTGAGCTGAAACGCCTGACGCGCGTTTCGGAGTGCAAAGACTCCTTCGTCAGGGGCTAAAAAATCCCGCCCAGAAGTCCCCGATATTTAAATGCACTAATAGCCAATCAGCATTAGGATGGTAGTGTATCATCCATGACGTTTCAATTGTACCCACGTGGGGCTGTCCCAATGGCCAATCAACATCAAGACCATAATACGTCATTAATGACGTTTGGACAGCTCCCACATGGGCATGTTAACTGCTCTTGACGTCAAGCGATTGACAGTTTAAATCTCCAATTGGAGTCTCTCTCTCAATGATTGTTACAGTGAATGCCCATAAAGTAATATCGGCTGGTAATAGACCGTAAAAAATAAAAAGGGAATCAAATCCCACTATCAAAAGCCATCCTGGCTTATATTTGATCACTACAGATACTTCAAAAAATACATCAGTCGATAAATATTAAATAATATAGGTAGCCATAATTATTACATATGAAAATAACGTCGATGGAAAAAATATCTGGAATATATAAAGATGTATATTTAGAACGGCATAATTAGTTCATAGGTAGCCATAATTATTAAATATGAAAATAAAGATGTATATTTAGAATGGCATAATTAACTCACTTAGAGAGAGGGGGAATGTCTACCACACAAAGTGTGTATAGGCGATGACTATATAGTGTATAGGAATTATATAGAGGGAGAAGGGGACAGCTGGTTTCATCATAGTATAGTAGTATTATAATCAGTGGATAAATTGTGAATACCTATAAATGATTGACCAGAAAAGTTTATGTCAAATACCAAAAAGACTGACTAAGGTATACAAATAATTGAGTAAAGGTGTACAAAATAGATGTATTATAGAGACTTCTAGATAAATGGGGAGTATGAAAAACCCTCATTGAGTCCCCTCGGGGACAATGTTTTCAGGCGATATATCCAATAACATTCACGTCTTCTTAGACGTTGGTCCCAATTGCCCTTCCTTTGATCTGGTTTGATTAATTCAATGCCCAGAAACTTTAAGACTGTAGGATCCCCATCATGGACTGTCTTGACATGTCTAGAGACAGAAGTCTCCAGGTTCCTTGCTGACTTTACAGAGTTTATATGTTCTAGTATTCGCCTTTTAAAGGGGCGAAAGGTTTTGCCTACATACATGAGGTGACATTGGCAGATAATTAGATAAACCACCCCTTTAGAGTTACAATTAAAAAACGAAAGGGGTTTGAAATGTTCCGTCTGTAAACATCCCTGAGCCAGTTTGATTGTCATTTTCTCAGACAGATAATATAGTTTGTATTTCACTACAATAATAAAAATATTTCTATTTTTAACTCTGACGTCCTGCAATATTGTTGGGAATTATTACTATTAAGCAGTGCTCACTCTTTTTAGAGAACTATGAAACTACTATTAATCAGTCACCCAGGTACCCAGTTTCCCAATAACAATCTAGAGCATCATCTTCGGGGGAGCAGGAGATAGGGAAAAGAAAGAACATTTTGTAGTGTATAATTTCACAAAACTCTGGAATCAGTGAATGAGTGCCCCTTTAATGTTGGATTTTGCTTTGCAGCCGATGTATGTGTCCATCAGGTAATCCACTTTGCCGGGATGAGCCAGGCTCTGTGGTGTATCGGTATATGAGCATTACGTCAGACAGGAGTGTCCCTTCAGATATATTCCAGATCCAGGCAACCAGTGTATACCCTGGGGCGTACAATACTTTCCAGATACGTTCTGGAAATGAGCAAGGAGACTTTTACATCAGGGTAAGTAACAAACATGTGAAAGTATATATCTGTAAACATACATAAAAAAAAATACTTATATTAAGTTGACTTAAGATTACGTTAAAAGAATAACAAACAAACACTAGTCATCCTCTTCATCTCAATGAAGTGGTTAGATGCAGTTGTCCTGTATGTTTAGCCTGTAAAACTAAAACAATTCAATTTAGCAGAAAGAGCAGTGCTTATCTTGAAAGCTTAAACAAGTGGGTGTCATAATGAGAGCCCCTAGAGGCACATCTACTGCACTGACCAAGTAAAACATAGTCAAATGACGCCGCAGCTTACAGGAAAGCATTCAATATGTTTTCCTATGGCAAATCTTGGATGCGCATGCAGCACCCACCACGCAACGGTGACTGGATCATCACAGGAGGAGGCGATGCCTTCTCGATGACGTTGCAGGAGGGAGTGAGTTGAGCAATGGCGAGTAAAGTAAAAAGCTTCTTTAAAAATTTTTTTTCAAAAAATATTCATTGTCTGGCACAAAGAGTGGGGCGGGGGGAACTACTTTAGATAAGAAATGGACACAGTAGCCTTAGGAACACAGTTCTAGCACTATAGTGTTCTTTTAAGTTTGCCTTCTCCACTTCTATTCATATAGGCTAACATATTATATGGATAAAACAAATTAATCCCTTATTATTACCGAAAATTAGATGTTATAATCTTTTATGTAACTGAAGGAGGCAGCCAGATGCAGAACGAAAGAATTATACGGTTGTACACTAAAGTGTGAATTTTGGAAAAGGTTTAAATATTTTTTTAAATTATTGATTGATAGTTCAAGGCATAGGTATGACATCACGATCACATCTCATACCCAGGCACCTTGTACAATTCAACTGCGTAACACAGGGGAAGCCAGGGAGCAGTATGCAGAGGTGTATATAAATTCAAGCAGCATGCGTACCAGGGAACTAGACCAAAACAGTAGATGTAGGTGATTAGAGATGGGGCAATCAGGATAGCAAATTTGGGAAAGAGGATTGTCTGCCAGGAGGATGTGTGAGTTTTCATGGGGTTAATTGCAGAGTATTGATGTAAATGACTTATGGATATACTATCTGGCTATCTGTTTTTTAAAAACAATTTGTTGGGCAATGCAGAACTATTAGGGAATGAATGGCCTGTTTTGGCTGAATGTGCTCCAGATTTGTTGTGCCAACAGTCATCTGAGAGTTAAGGTCCCCATCAGTACTGCTATGCTATCGTTGCAATCATCTCTGGATTGGAAATAGGACCTGTACTGTAATGTAGATATTAGAACAGTTACCCAAGACAATTTACAAAATAACAAATACAAATCTTACCAAGCTCAGTTAAAAACTATTTGATGACATACCCCTACCTTTTCATGTTTGTTAAAAGAGTCGCTAAAAAACATAATCCTGAGCTAAGTATTGCTGATCACTAACCTTGTAGATCCAAGCAAACTCTTATATAATTTCATAATAAAACCAAAGCTACATCCTTCCTCTTTCAATCGCCCATCACTTAACATGCTTCCTATTTGTATATGGACAAGACTCCATTATATGATGCAACATTCCTCAGACTTAGCAATGCTGTTAGCTGGATGTATCTCACATTGGTTATCCTGAGTTACTTTCAGATTATGTTGTAAATACCTGTGGTGCTGTGTCTTCGATGTTCACAAGGCCACCTGCATTTCAGCATGTATGCCTTTATTATTAATATACAATTGAAATCAGTAGCAATATTTCATATTTTATTATGTGGCTGTGCTGAAATTTCCGGTTATCTTTTAAATGAACAGTATCTTACCCAAGACGGTAGCTACATCAATGTACCCAAGTAGGCATACAAAATGTGGTTTGGTTCTGTTATTAAGAAGTGGAGTTCTAAATAAATAAAAACTATATTTAATGTGGACATTGCACTAAAATGTCCTAAATATCCAGTGTGACAAGCTCCAGTTATGTTATATTTGCTAATTGTTGGCTAGTATATTTAGTAAATAAAAAATGTTTAATACTCAGTTGAATCCTGTTATTTTGGAAAACAGATTGGCTTTAGAATTGTCACAAGTTTGTGGTCATTTGTTTAACTAAGCTGCATATACATGTGTTCTCAAGAGTATCTCTCCTTCTTGTCTACCTACAGCAAATCAATAACATCAGTGCTATGCTTGTCCTGGCTCGTCCAGTCAACGGTCCCCAGGAATTCGTTCTTGATCTTGAGATGCTGACTTCAAATTCCCTGCTTAGTTACCGTTCCAGCTCAGTGCTCAGACTTACCGTGTTTGTGGGAGGATATGCCTTCTAAATCTTAAAAAAACAAAACAAAACACAGGACATTTATCTCTATGCTGTCTATAAACTACTTTTTTGTTTGTTAAATATTTTCTTTTTACTAATTTGAATTTTATTTTTTTATTAAAACCTGATTATGTTCTGGAAGAGACTGCCTTTCAGTCAAAGCAATGTTGCAAGCCTCTGTGGCAATGGATTGGTTAGCCGTGCCATTACTAAGTGGGCACTAAGTTTGGTCACTTCCAGACTGCAGAATATCAGGGACAGGTTCGGACAGTACAGGGTGAATTCACAGTGACCTCTTTATTCCAAATCAAACGAAAGATTTGTCAATGGTGTGCTACACATTTAGGTTGACTGATTTCCTAAATGGAAATAGTTACGAAAATAGATATGACCATTCTAATGCAAATTCGAATTGTAGTTTGATACAGCAAATCTATACAGATCCCCACAGTATTGTTTTTTTTAACGAATTACAAGAATTATGACTAGTGCCAAATTTAAAATGTAGATTTATTCATGAACTATAGATTGACAAGACTTGATCATACAGCATGGAGAAATGAACATTGTGATCTATGGAATGGAGGTCATCATAACTGGCACAGACCATGCAGAAAAAGAGTAATACAGGATCAGCTAGTCTCATATCCTCATTTTTAGTGGCCTGCCAAGTGCAGATTGACAGGGATACACTTAAGTGAAGGTTACTAAAGACCTGTTAAAATATTTTTTAACTATCATACATATGCATAACACTCCAGTAATAAACCAGTGGCTGGATTCTTTAAAGGACCACTCTAGGCACCCAGACCACTTCAGCTTAATGAAGTGGTCTGGGTGCCAGGTCCAGCTAGGGTTAACCCATTTTTTCATAAACATAGCAGTTTCAGAGAAACTGCTATGTTTATGAATGGGTTAAGCCTTCCATCTAATCCTCTAGTGGCTGTCTCATTGACAGCCACTAGAGGCGCTTGCGTGCTTCTCACTGTGATTTTCACAGTGAGAGCACGCAAGCGTCCATAGGAAAGCATTATGAATGCTTTCCTATGTAACCGGCTGAATGTGCGCGCAGCTCTTGCCGGGCATGCGCATTCAGCCGACGGGGAGGAGAAGAGGAGGATCGGAGGAGGAGAGCTCCCTGCCCAGCGCTGGAAAAAGGTAAGTTTAACCCCTTTTCTCCTTTCCAGAGCCGGGCGGGAGGGGGGGTGGGGGCACCCTCAGGGCACTATAGTGCCAGGAAAACAAGTATGTTTTCCTGGCACTATAGTGGTCCTTTAAGCCAACATAACTTTATTGCGTGTAATTCCTTAACCGTTTTCCCATAGATGTCAAGGGGAGAATTGTGATTCAATTACTATTGTTAAAAAAAAAATCTCTGCTTATAGAATCCAGCCCCAGATCTAATGGAATTGGTCTGATGGATCACTATGCCCACTTAAGTAATGATATTCAGAAAAAATGACTTACTGACTAAGCTTGGGTCTATTACTATGCTACAGATAAAAAAATAAACTAAAAAACATATACTCAATCTTTTTTTAGTGAGCAAATAACTGCATTTTGTTGATTTGTCATTGAATATAGGTTGTACCCATTTCTGTAAAGTAACTTTTTTTTATAGTGGTTTCACAAAGTTACATAATGTTCTTGTACATTAATAAGAGGGGTAAAAGAACATGTAAATATTAAAATTGTACTTATGAGGTTACTCACCTGGCTACTATGAGTAGTGAGCAAATAAAGTGATATTTCAATTTGTTAGATGTGTTTAAAAAAGGAAAAGGGGTGTATTTCAGTATGACTTGCATGGTGGTATAGAGTAGCCTAATGCAGCGTTGAAGACAATTGTGTTTTTTGTTTCTTATTGTTACATTAAACTTTATCTGCTGACCTGGAACTCCCCATTGTAGGGTGTGATATTTGGGTACCACCCTTCTCTCACAAACCTCACTACATTAGCTGCCTTTTAGTAGAACATGTATAGTTCCACTGAACTTTATTTGTCAGATTATCCTGGTAGTAGAATAATATCCATTATTGTTTACTATAATGAAGAAAGAATATTTAGAAAATAAATTTAGAAGCAGTTAGTAATGTATTTTGTGAAAGGGAATAGCTATGTGTAAAATTTCATGTGGGGTGAGAAGCAGTTCATAAACCTTGTGGAAAAACTGAAAATTATTAAAAGAAAATTAGCAGGGCTTCCACTTTAAAGCTCTTTCAAGCAAAAGCCATAATTTTGTCTTGAGCATATATGCAGCCAACTGCCAATGTAGCTCTGTTGGCTCCCTGCAGCCAATTGAGTAGGTTATTCCATTTTGGAATAGGATCCTTGACAGACAAATTGCTATGATGGCATAGACAATCATTGGTCTGTAAGCAGTTCACATTAATTAACATATGTGACTGTTATTGGATAAATCATTCTCTCAACCTGTCCATAAATAAGTGTGTTATCATTTGTATTTGTACAGCAGCTTTAATATCACATATTTCTGTACCATGAGCTAACTGTTTGTGTGTGCATAAATAGTAGTCAATATCTAAAAGGAAAGTCACTGCACACAGGGATGTGCCTCCCGGTGCTGCAGCCTGTGGGAGGTTAGGGAAGGGGGGCTTAAACTGCTACTCCAATCCAAATAGTGAAAGCAGGCTTTAATAGGTAATTAAAAAATAAAGGATACCGCACTCTCACAGTGAAAACCAGGTGCATCAAAGACAAGGTTGTCAAAACCCAATTTAGTAGATATTAGTTGAAAGTAGGTCCAGACACTCAAGGTTTCTTCAGAAAGGAAAATTTATTGAAAACTGAACGTGCAACATTTGGACCTACACAGGGGTCTTTGTCAAGCTCAAGGGCACATAGTTTTTGATGAATTTGCACTAATGTAGTGTAGAAAGTAGGTCCAGACACTCAAGGTTTGTACAAAAAGGCAAATTTATTGAAAACTGAACGTGCAACGTTTGGACCTACACAGAGGTCTTTGTCAAGCTCAAGGGCACAAAGGCTTCTGTGTAGGTCAAAACGTTGCACATTCGGTTTTCAATAAATCTGCCTTTTTGAAGAAACCTTGAGTGTCTGGACCTACTTTCTACACTACATTAGTGCAAATTCATCAAAAACTCATAATATTTTGGTTTACAAATCCTTAATAATGTATAAGTAAACACTGACTTAGAGATCTATTTATACCCATATCATACCCAATTAATTAACTGGTGCTGTATCTGCTAATTCATAATTTTTATTTTTGATCTTCTGTATGTATTTACTTCCCTATTTGAGTCACGACTGCTATGCGTGTCACCATGGTATCCTTTAACCATTGACATTTGATTAAGTCATTATATTATGTGTTTCTTTGCATAATATATGTCTATAAATAGATATGAGTGTTTAATTATACACGATTAAGGCCTTATTGGCAGAAACATAGTGATTTCATAAGAAATGACTTGCATTACATCCTGTTGAAGCCTGGTCCTATTTTCACTATTTGATTATTCGTATCTTTCTTTATCTATGATAGCCCCCTGGAGTTATCCTATTGCATATGTCAGGAGACTGTTTCACATTCCCATATGCTTTTAAAGTTTCTAATCCGATATCTCCAACCTTAGACTACATAATTTATTAAAGACTAACTTTCTGAAAAACATATTTTATTGAAATGTATAAATTCATACTTTCATGTACTCCAGTATTTAGTTTCCATCATTCAGTACTCAATGTTACAAAAATGCATTTTTGAATCTTCACATCATTAACTGCAGTGTATTTTATTTCTTTAATTACAAAATGGTAGCTAAGATACATGTACTTTAGTTTCAATGATACTTCTGAATAATATTGAAGGAGAGGAGGATAATACAAAATGAGGTAGTATTTGGTAATGCATAGTCAAAAATGTGTCACAGACCTATTTTACTATTAATGCAGCATCACTTTTCATCCTGTCATATTGGCATAGTATGATTCTAAAGATAAAGTCCATTAAAGAATCAGCATGATGTCCTGAATTTATGTTGTATTATAGCATCAGGATAACGCTCCTTTAGTGCAGTAAAGCTGGGATATGGTCTTGCTCAAGACTGGTCCAAGGTTTCTGTAAGAGCGATAACAAAACGTAATTAGACTATGAGGGTAATTTATTACAAGTCCAAACAAGTCAATAATACACAGTCCAAGGTATGCTAAACTTGTTAAGTATACATGCACAGCTTAACAGTTTTAACTTAATAATTATGTCATAAAAAATTTACATTCAACAGTAAATCTCATGTTTGTCTGCCCTCTTAAACTGGGCAATCTGTGCACAAGAAATGGAAACAATTTGTAGATGAGCTTGCTTGACCCACTGTTTGTTCTTTTCAGTAATCTTAAGCGGTTATAAGAATGGCGAATAAATCCAGATGTGGATGTATTCCTCATTGTGCATGGTGGTAAATCAGCCCATGATGGGAGTCTGATCTGCCCACTGATATTTCCCTCTGTATGGGCATAATTTTAAAAAAAGTTGTAAAGTTGATTTTGTCCCACACAGTTTCTTTTTACATTCCACACTCATATCCTGTCCAGATGCTCCACAGTAATAATAAATTATGAAATTAAATAAAAAAATGTCAGGCATACATTTTTGAGGCTAATCGGGAATTGGGGGAGACTATCGCTCTAATAAACTCTAATAAAAATGTAACTGGTTTGGTTTTTAAAAGAGTGGCTTTTTAACATCACTGCTTACATGGCTTTTATTTTGCAAAACACAAATAAATCCACAAACAATGGCCAAGGGCTGACATTTTCTAGACGTGTCAAAAAAAGTAATGAAGAGTGTATGCCACATACAAAATTAAAGCTAGGAGCCATATTGCAAAAACACAAACAGCCAGCAGAGAATTCCTGATGAAAATAACAGAGGCAAACACCAAAATAGTAGAGCTGTGGCAGCATTGCAAAACTGCTTCATGGTGGCCTAAATGCATAAACCACACAAGATAGTGTTCTGGTAGAGGGAGTTATTGTTCAAAAGACAAGCAGTCCTAGAGTAAACATGAGATAATGGCATCTCGTCTATTCTTGGACCAAAAGAAATAGCAACTAGACACTATATTTTAAACCTGAAACCTCAATGTAATTTAAACAAATCCTTATCCTGGTGACCATGAGAAGATCATGATCGGCAAAGCAACACTGAGTCTTCAAACACGGCAGGCCAATGTGTCTGAGGTTTTCAAGAGAGACATTCAATGTCCAAAGTATTTATCGACTGCAAAACTTAATTAGGATTTCACTCAGATAGCATAGATAATTCTAGCACAATGGGCAAATGTTCTGACAAACTGTGCACTCACTGTTTCATCAAAATCTGGTCTTTTATAGTACTTGTCAATAAACCCTCATCAGTGCCTCCTGAGTAAACTCAAGATTGGGACAGATATGCCTGATAAATTCCAAAAACATGCATTACAGACCACATATTGTACTTTGGATAGATCGAAAAAGCGCTTTTAGACAAAGCACTCTAAGATAAAACTATTTTGCAAGTCAGTAGCAATATATAAACAACAGTACACCTAGGATTGCTACCTTTTATAGCCTCCATAAGATCACTAAGCAACAGAATTTTTTTATTGCAAGACCAATTGTTCTGGACAAGGAAACTTGACACAGAATGCGGGCATATACCTGGATTCCATACCTAGTGATAAAATGAACATCATATCTGAGAGACAGTAGTGTCCAAATGTTGAATTGTCCAAATGTAAAACTCCTGACGGGGTAATACTCTGTAACTTAGATGTGGAAGGGCTCTATACCTTTATCCCCTACAATCAGGGTATTCTTCATACTGCCTACTTTCTCAAACAAAAGTCTGATACCATCAACACAACTTATTCCTAGAGAAACTACTTAGATTTGTGTTGACTTTTTTATTTTCACTGTTATCTACTACCACCAGTTGAGTGCGATGGGGACAGCTTGTGCCCCATCATATGCCAAACTGCACCTGAGATGGTAGGAGAAACGTGGTGTTCTTTGAAAAACTGCAGGAATATCCAAAATTCATCTTTAAGTGGAAACTGTCAGGATTATAGTTGATCCAGCACGCAGAATAGTATCACACCTAGGACTAAGGATAACGTTTAATCGGACCTAAGAATGGCCATACTTAACGTACCAGAGACTAGTCAAAATACTTGCCGAAATCAGGGACACAGAAAGAGACACAATGATGAGGAAAGCCAGAAATCAGGGAAGTCAAAATTAAGCCAAAGTCAAATACCAGAAAAACGCAATCAGGAGCACACTCTCGGATAACCAGCTAGGGGAAACCACGACAGGGCACTGACAGAAAGATAATTTAAGTTTAAATAACCCTCCTTAGGCTGTAATTGGCGGTCTCTGACCTCTGACCCCAAAACGTGTGTGCGCGTATATTACGTGACGTTGCACGCATGTTGGCGCCATCTTTGATGTGGGCGGAGGTAAGTCTCCTATTAAAACCGGAACCGCAGCAGCTGGCGTCTCTAGGAACGCCGTAATCGCTGGGGACCCGGTGGGGCAGCGGTTCGCCGCGACCAAGGTAAGTATAAGATTTTTCTGTCGGCGTGGCCACTATCACTGGGAGCCGTGACAGAAATGCTATATAACGCTAGATAACATGTTAGTCACAACAACAATAATTTAAGTTACATCAGAAGCGGGTTCCCCCTCTCTCAACTTTTTGAGTACCACAATCACTATTCTTGAGGATGGAGCCAACAGCCACGAACAACATTGTTCGATTGGAAATTTACCATCCACTTTGCTTTACAGTAGAAACAGATCTGCATCTAACATGCAACTTTTCTGACTTGGAGGATTTTAAGGTCAAAGCTTGTGATATGCGCAAAGCACTTAGAAATAAGGGATATCCTAACCATTGTTTTAAAAGGGCTCATCAGAGAGCCCTTGTGACAGATAATCACTTATTTATGAGAATAACAATCCCTTACAAGCGAAACAACCTATACGATGTATAGGGGAATTTGATCCTGGTTGGGATGCTGTAAGGAACATCCTTACTAGGTTATGGCTATTAGTTACAAACAAGTATTACCAACAAAGGTGGCCATGACATTGAGGAAAGGGAGAATTTGAAAGATCAACAACTTGGCTTTCTCAATCCATCCATTTATCAACTGCAACACCAAGGGGGTAGTGTACCTTTGTACCGCTGTGTAGCTGCAGCTTACAATATGTGGGGGAAACGTTTGTCCATTTAAAAGGTGCATTTTAGAACACAATTCTTTTGAAAGAGTAATTGATACCCCTATATCAAGACACCTAAAATCCTAACACAATGGTGATCTACAATGGGGACAGATTTGGTTCATTTGGACCAGAGAAAATGTGATTTGGACAAAAAGCGGAGGAGGAAATAATTCTTACAAATTTATCAGTTTAAAACCAGCTCACCTGGAGATAGTTTTAAACTGATAAATTCGTAAGAATGAGGGGTTTTCCTATACACCATTTATAAATGATTAAATGAAATGTCTATTCTTTGAAACTCTCCTGATAAAAAATAGTTTCTATAGGCGAGCAATGTGTTTTTCATGCTCTTTATGAAGTTTATGAAGTGATTTTCCTCTTCCAAGTTTCACCCTCCTTGTAGCCATTAAATATTTTTTTTATTTTTAGAGTCTGTCCCACATATGGACATTAGTAATATGAAAATAAAGTTAATTTGATGTTTAAGATATTTTGGATGTCTATATTTAATTCTGACAATGTTTATTGTTTAGCTTTAGTGAATACACTTAATAGTACTCTTATTTAGTTAGTGCTCAAAAGGCCATTCTAATATATTTTTTCTTTTTATAAATCTTTATTTTTAGTTCAGTCCACAAGTACATATCATGATATAAGGACAAAAAGAAAAGAAAGGCATTATCCATGACAGACTTTCCAACGTGAAATACATTAAGATACTGTGCATTTTGCACAAAAATGGAATTTAATTTTTTTGAAACGAAAGATATAACGGTAATTTCTAATATATTTTTACGCACCCTTTTATTTATATCCTCACAATATGGAGTAAAATCTATAAATATATATAATTATGGCATTCCTTTTCATATGTTTTGACTGATATTGCAGACAGACTAAATAATGATCATACATATAACAATAGTATAATAATAGAAGATAATGACTGAGTGGGCGGTTTCTTGATTCTCGCATCATCGAGGAGAGTTTACCCTTCAAGTGGAGAATGTTTAGAGTGGACTGTAAAATGGGGTGTCATATTTGAGACATCCCTCCATCTCCACTTGGGACATTTAATATACAATAGCATTCAATGTAAAAGTGTATGCAACTGACCGGCTCGCCCCCATCATGCCCTTGAGGCATGTGCAGTTTGATTGGACAGCAAAGCAGTCACAGGACACTCACTAACACTTAAATGCTTTGCATTTAGGAATGAACTGGATTTCACTGACAAAGGTGCACACTAGCAACCAATCGTGCTCTGGGTTTCCTTTATTGTTTTTTACCCCCTCTTAAAGGGACACTGTAGGCACTTTAACAACTAACCTAATTTAAGTTGTTAAAGTGCCTTTAATATTTTCCTCCTTCTCTTATTTTTCAAATAGTTTCCTGTATTCTGTATTAAGGCTGCTCTCATACCCAACCATACCCTAACGTCAGGTATACTTTTGCTGCCTAATGCGCGCTCTCGTGATATCAGAACGTCCTGCCCTTGTGATTTCCCACTCTTTTAGAACCCAAGGAAATCACGGAGATAAGCAGCAGTAAAACAGTATGGGCAGAGCGTGGGGTTTGTCGCCAGACTGAGCCCTCTTTGCAGGCTTTGGTTGGTCATGTGAGATTTTTGTCCAAAACCCGGTGAGAGCTCAGCAAGGACGAGATAGACACAGAGAGCGGCATGGCAGTGAGTGGGGCTTCCCACATGGATAATGTGTGTATGGGATGGGATCCTTTCACAAAGCCGGGTCTTATCACTAGCAGGGGTTACTGACTGGGCAAACCGGAACCTTTAATTCCTGGAGTGCCAGGAACACTCTGTATTATTTATATAGAATCCAGGACCATCATAGACTGAATAAATAAATCTTCACTGAAATACAATGATTCCTAATGAGTGTAATTTGATTGGAGCATAGCGGCAAATGCCGCACATGGTCCGCAATGCTTCTCTATGAGAAGCTAGTGATTGAACTTGAACGATAAGTCACTGATGATGTGAAAAGGGGCGGGCGTAATGCCACTAGGTCAACTAAATAACTAAGAAAACAAGGTAAATACTGATTTTAAATGTAAATATTACTAATAATTAAATAATTAGAATGGTGTTTGGTGATATACAGTATAGTAATAAATATAAGATACATCTGAAATATAATAAATTGGAAGATAGTACAGTGTTCCTTTAACAGCACCGGGTTTTTTTCTTTAGCTTGATCAGCACTTACTAGATTTTTTTCTGATTTCAGACAGCTGAGAAGACTGATGCTTGGAGGGGCACGTGATGGGGGACCTAGCTTACACCTATGATATAGTGGCTACAGCTAGTTGCACATATCCTTTATTTAGTTTATCACAGAAATCGAGATTTAGAATAAGTAGCTCATTCAATTTTATACATTCAGATAGTGATCCTGTACTTTAGTCTACATTGAGACCTTTACAC